CTGTGTAAGCACAGTTCAGTCCAATGCTGACTACTGTAATTGTTAAAAGATTGTTCAGTAAGAAGTGAAATGATTTGGTTGTCTCAGTCCACTTCCCACTGGACAGGTGTATATTTCTAATGGTTTTCACCACCATGGCATCTCGTTATCAAAAGAAAAGAGTGATATGACAAAGTTTAGCAAATGAGACAACTCCGCTATAACCTGGAGTTGGTTCTGTCAACTGAGACAGTGTCAGACTCTAGAGCTGTCACACTTCACTAACGCAGACTTCACTTTAACATTAACAAAGAAATGGCAGTAGACAGCCTAATTTATTTAACCGTCAGCCCCCACAACGCAGCTTCTCCACGAGGAAGAAACACTTGTGCAGGGCTCTGGGACTGGCTCTCAAACACAGATGCCCTTGCTGCTGCCCACGCAGCCTTCACACTCTAAAGACAGAGAATGATAAACTTCTCTCCCAGTCTTTAGGGAAACTAATCCTCCATCTCCGGTATTTATTAATTTGATTTATGGCTCCTTTATCTAAATAATCAAACAAATACACACACTTAAATTTCTCATTTTAGCAACGAAGTAACACAAAGGAATCACAAGCCTTATTCTTCATAATGTCATTAGTTTACACTCCATCTTGATATCAAACATTATAATGTCATCTGAAGCCCCCTACGTTTTAAAAGCTGGAAAACATGTAAGGACGCTTCAAACTTTTCCAAGCATGCATGTTCAACACATGATAAAGAACCCGCTTCTGGACATCGCATGCAAAAGATGAAACATAAGAACAAAGTAGACATAAAGAAGCATAACTAAATACAAATTAAGTAACAACAGACCATAAACAAAGCCTTCTTCTCCAGACTGACTCTGGATTTCTATTTGGAAAGCCAACTTGCATCTGAAGAAAGAAGTGGTGCTTGAGCAGAAATATATATCACATTTTCGAGCTATCATATAATTCCTTATCTACTAGTTTGTTGAAGAATGACTGCAACATGAGAAAAGTTATGGATGAGTAAAGAATAATATGCTAAGTAAGATGCAACTCCTTGTAAGGTGACTAAGGATAATAAAATAAAAAATGAAAGTCACAGTAGTTTCCTTTCTCCATCTTCTAAAGAAGGAAAGGTACCCACACAAAACTGTCACTCCAGCTGAAGCTGTGTGAGGCTGATATTCTCTTTAATAACAACCAGAATCATAAGGCATATTTTGTTGTGTTGCTTTTACCCATTAGGTATTGCTCTAATCTCTCTTTGACTCAAGAAAATTATGGTACCTGTGATGCAGGATTAAAAAAAGTCTTCTAAAATTAATACCCAATACCAATTCACACATCCTATCAGTGCCTTCTTATTGTCAGATGTTGCAATGCTACAGTTTTTCATGCCCCATTTGGGCAAACCCATCTCAAACCTTTACTAGTGCTCCTTCTCACACTCACAGAAAAATCTGTAAGTGGATGGCAAAAATGTGTGTGCAGGTCTTGTAAACTTATTTAGAGACAGAATAAAAATTTTCTACACTATCCATCCCTAGGAAACCACAGATAAATAATGAAGAAACTGTAATGCAAATACTGTATCTCACATAAGCATACATGCAAATCAAAGTACAACATTCATGTAAACTAGATAATGCACTTCTAAATGTACTTAATTAGGATACCTGTGCTGTCTCTGAGGAAAAAGAGAAATTATGCCACTAATACCATGACTGTCCAAGACATCCTCAAAGGATAATGAAAGAACAAGAAAACTGGAGAGGGAACAGAATGGCACACTACCAAATACTTTCTGTAAAAAAAAAAAAAACCACAAAACCCAACAACAACAACAACAAAAACCAACCACAAAAACAAACAAAAAAACCCCAACACATAGCTTCAAAACATGAATTGCAAATGAAGATGGGAGCCCACAAAACAAGCAGAATTCTGTACGCTGCTCTGAAAACATCATCATCGAGGCTTATAACACTGTTTTGCGTACCCTTAAAAGGAACAAGATTAAAGAAAATAAAAGCATGCTAAACAAGGCTACGGACTGTCAAAGAGACTGAAACCAAGTAACCAAAGTAAAAGAAGAATGCACAGTTCAACCTGTAATACACAAAATGAAGCCCTTCCAGTGACATGGAAAGATACCCACAATACATAACAGAGAAAATTCCTTACAGATCACTGAAATTCATTGAGCCAGTAAGAGCACAAGGAATTAAAAATCTAATCACTTCTTGTCTGCTCTGCTTGTCTTCATCAAAAGCACAATAGAACTATTAAAAAAGTGCGAGTCAACCTCAACATGCTCAACAAAACCAACTAATGGGAAAGACAAATGTAATGTGATGCTATCACTCCTAATTTTATGAAGTTAGAATTGATGAAATAATAAATTCAACTGAGCAACTGTGGTAGCAATGTGGAGCCATTTCAGAATTCAAATCAAAATGCTGCCTTCAGTTAGGAAGTTGTAAAAGCCCATACTTGTACAAATAAAATTTTAAAAAATGCCAGAAAGCCACAGCGAAGAGTTTAAAGAGTAGCCAAAGTAAAGAGTTTAACTTGTTTTATTTTTGTTAACGTCTATTACATTCTAAGAAGATGTAGGTTTTATGAAAAACACTATTTAAATTAAAGTTTTCATTTAGTGATGTAGTGTATCAGTCAGAAAGATCTTGTGACCTTCCGCAAACAGATCTCGCCAAAACTCAGAAGAAATACAGGATTAAATTACTTTCCTCCATCACCTCTGTCCCAGAGGACCTAGTGCACCAACACCACAATCCCTTATACTTCTGAACACAGTGTGGAATTCTGTGGGAAAAGGGCACAATAATCCCTTGACGATCAAGAGTCTATTGACATTTTCCATGTTAAATCAGGACATTTAGGTGCCCTGTAGCGAAAAGCAATTATCAATACCCACCATATTAAAAAAAAAACAAAACAAAACCAACACATAAACCATGAAGATAAAGCCACACTTCTTTCATTTCATGATTTAACTGCCCTTACATACAAGATTTAATGAAATTAATGAAATTCTACCTTACCAAAAACTTCCATACCATTGTCATGCTCCACCTCATTACTTAAAACCCTGGAAGTAAAAGGCCTTCCTGCTTTGCTACTCACACATGCAACCTACTAAGCACAGTATTTAAGAAAATGGGTCCAAATCATGGTTTGCTTTTCATCATATGCTCCAGGTCACAGATAAGCTAAGGCACTAGAAGCCTCCTTTTCTACTTCTTACAGGAAAAATTCATTAAATGCTTCATCACAACTCTGTTGATTTGCTCCCTGCCACTACTCAACATAAACGTAGACAGCAGAGAGAACCTCCCGTGGTTATTAACGATTTGGGGACAAGAGTGTTCTGGCTGAGGCAGCATCTGCCTTAACATTTGAGGTTTTTATGTCAAAACATTTAAGTTTTTCTGAACTTGACATCATGTAAGATTGTTAAGATACCACCACACAGCCCTAACAATAAATTTAACTATTTGTCAAAAATTTTGGCTTGCAGGTATATGAGTCACTGTACTTATGTACAATTGCAGCTGAGACTTGACTGTGTTAAGGAAAAGACATAAAATGCTGCCTGATTGTTAAAGTGCTCTTTTCATTCCTGTAGACTTCACTGTGCTGTAACAGTGGTGATGGTTTTGCTGTGAAACCAGGATGTATGTCACAAAATCTGTTAGCTCTAGTGCCTTTATATACGGGCATGTCTATAACGCCCACCAGTCTTTCTACCTATACCTGTAGCTAACACTTTTATCCTATCCCATGAACTTTGAGATACACAATTGTTTATTCATTAAATTTATCAGGCAGCCTGGTAAAAATTCTACCTGCAAGTAAAATAGTTCTACAAATGTAATCCTTAGTGGCTTCACTTGAGCACGTTCTTGCCACCAAAGTGCAGAGAGAAAGGAGTGTTGGAGGAAACCAGGGCCTGCCTGTGCACATGAGCCAGTCTGAACTAAGAATGAGAGCAGTAAAAGTTGCTTCCATTTTGGGTTTGTATCAACATATTTACCCGATATCCAAACTGATTCCTTAGTATCTCAGAACCACAGAATTTCTTGTTGGAAAAGATCTCTGGAGGTCATCTATTAGCAACACTAGATAGGGCCAGCTAGGGCTTTGTCTAGGACAATCTGGACAACTGCCAAGGATGGAGATCCCATGGACTCTGAGTAACATGTTCCAGCACTGCACTACCTTCCTGGTGAAGAGCCACAGCAATTATTAAATTATTCCTGGAACTGTAAGGATCACTTTGCCTCTTTTACCACTGAGTTCCTAAGATTAATTATGTTGGCTATTGACAACCACCTTGGTAGAAGTCTGTCAGACACCTAATAAACTATTACACTCCATCAGATCTCGCAAGATGCTCAGCGTTCTTTCAGAAGCAGTATTTCCAACTCCGGCTGAAACCCTGGAGATTAGAGGGCAGCCTGCATATCTCAAGACTGACCTGTCAAAGTTTAAATCCCCTACAAAAAGTTGAATTCGTAACACGAGAGGAGAAAGAATGCACTAGTGTATTACAGTGCTGCATAGTTCATCTGAATAAATGTTGTGCATTGACAGCATTGTCAGCTTCTAATTAAAAAGCAATCATGAAGACAAACTAATTTTTTGTATTAGCTTTACTACACAGTAGGTACAGACAAAGAAAATATTTTCTACTACTAATCTTACCAGTTTTTGGCACAATTGCCTTTCCTTCAAGGGTACTGCTATGTTTGATTTCTCAATCTTTTCAAAACTTAGCTTAAAAGAAAGTAACACAATCATAATGCTAACATGTTAAAAATCACTGATAGCATTTTTCATCACCACGCAACTGAGAACAGTTTCTTAGCATGTTAGAAAGACAAGTAAAAGAAAATTTGGCCCGCATATTAAATAAGATTTTTCTAAAGATACCAGATTTAACTAACTTCAAATCTCTGGAACAGTCAAGCAATGCACATACCTGCAATTGGAATATTCTGTGAGACTGACAGCTGTACATCTCCAGTACCAGGTGGCATGTCAATTACTAAATAGTCCAGTCGACCCCAGTCCACCTAGAAGACAGCAATAGAAATGTATGCTGAAGGTTGGAAGTGTTTTTATTTAGGGCATTTTGTGTTTTATTGCAGTCCTTGTTTCCTATAATATAAAACAAGTGAACCAAGGACACCTCAAAAGAATGACACTCAGATGCCCTTTTAGTCACACTTTCAGTACAGAATCAAGCCATTATTTTTCTAAGATATGCACTCTCCACTAATCACTCAAAACTATGAGCACAACTTTATTATTAACTTTATGAGCATAATCCTTATTGAATTCCTTCCCCCCAAAAAAGTAGCAACAACTTAATTTAAGACTTTTACTTTGCAGCTGCTCAATCACAGGTTAAAAGCAAATCAGGCTAAAATTCCAGGGTTTGTGCAACAAATATGGTTTAGAAATTGTTTCCATTAATTTAAAACCAGTTTTGCTTGCTTCTTATAATTTCTTTAAAACTACATGTAAATCTTTAGTAATTCTTTTCTGGTTTGTTGTTGCAAAGTCAAGAGTTACGGGTACTGAATTTTTTCTAGGAAAGAGAGCTGTTGGGAAAAAAAAAAAAAACACCAAAAGAAATTTGTTAAATGAAAATCACCATGTATAATTATACAAACTTAAAGTGTACATAAGACATAACACAATAAAAAAGGTTTACTAGTTGCTAGGCATCAAATGAGAGTGACCATTAAAGATATCAGGCTCAAGTATGAGAATGCTGTGATTACTTGTGTTCTTTACTACAACAAATTTCCAGAAGAGCCAAATAACTCTCTCTAGAGCATTGTGTACTGCAATAAATGCCCTCTTCATGAGAACAGAAATGGTCCTAGGCCTACTCTATACAATGTAAAGCCAAGCTATACTTCACCTAAACATTTCCTAACAGTGTAACTACACTTCAGGAGATCCTTGATTCAATTCCGACGTGATGCAGGTTACTACCAGTGCACTCCTACCAGCTAGCAGTAATGTATAAGGTATTCTGTCTCTGCAGTACAGAAGCTTTAGAAATCATAACCACGTTAAAAATAAAGACCCGCAAATGTCTCCCCCTCACTTTTCTATCCACAGAGACATAACACAATTATATGGCATGTTTCTGATTCATACAACATATATAAGATACAACAGTATAAGCTGCTTTAATACAGGAAAATGCCAAACAAAAGCAGGATTTTACTTTCTCTTTTATTTTACGCATTCCCTCAGAGCCGTTTTAGCAGCAAAAACAACTGACATTTTGCCAGTCTCCCACTTACTGTCCTGGAGTGTTAGACCCTGTCAGGGGAACACTCATTCATTTTCATTCAGTTCTGATGATGATCTTCTGGGGAAACACAAGCGATCTGAAATCCAGACCACCAACCCAACGTAACACTCCAGTACAAAATGGAATTTTTCAAGGCAGACTGCTGGAAGACGGAAGATTTCAGAGCACTTATGGGAGAAGGGGTACAGGGAAGGTTAGTTGCAAATTCTAACTTTAGATGTCTAAATTAGGGACTCTCAGGCACACTTCCCTTTCCTCATTTTCTATACAAAGGTTGCAGGAGCACTAAGTGGTGCCAGTCTAGCTTAACAGGAAACGCTACTTATGTTAACCACATCAAACACTGCACTTTTTCACATTTAATACTGATCTATATTATCTGTAATATCCATATTATTTTAAATATCTATATTTTGTCAACAAAAATGACATATACCTAGCAGATTTCTAAAAGCGATTAGCATTCATAATCACATTGAGACTATATAACCCAAAAGAAAAATTACATATATGTGCAAAAATGTATGTTCTGAAACATAAGCACGGGGTAGGGAAGTCAGTTTATCAAAAAAAAAAGTTACTTTGTTTTTCTTATCTAATCTCGCTTAGTTATAAGCAAGATAAACGTCAGTGCTGATGAATGCCTCTCTTTCCAATGAAAATTACTTTGCTCACTTGAAGGCATGAACGTCACATTTCTGTTTCTTAATTAAAAATTAACCATTACAAAGGTGACAAATTGAAATTACATACACATTGAAAAGTAGCAGTATTTTACAACATGAATAAAGTTCCTTAAAGATTCACAACTAAATATACAAATCCTCTACAAACAGTTAAGTGCATAAATCTCAATATGCAAAATCAAATCTTACACAATAATCACCATTTTGAAACATTAAGGTATAGAGAGGTTTACTTTCTAAAACTGATTAACTCAAAATACCTTTTTCCCCTCCCCATGTCCTCCTATAAAAAGATGCCAGAATCCGCCTTTAAGTCCAAATTTGGAAATCCGGTAATCATATTCTTCTTCCTCAAATTCAAGCCCTTTTAGCTACAGCACTGCCTCATGGAGCAGTACAAGACAATCCAAAACCCACCCACATCACAGGTAACTGGAATAAAAAAAAACACATAAATTTTTTTATCCCATTGCTAAAAGCTGACTGGTTTTGCATATACTTGCTGGCCCTAACTTTAAGCTAGCTCCTCTTGTGGAACGATGTGACTTTCTGGGCCTGTCCTATAGCTTTTTTTTTTTTTCCCCCACTTCTACTAAAGTTTATACTCTTCCAACCTCTCCAATAGTCTCCTCCATCAAGCTCCATGTGATCCTCCTACCCAGCAAGCATTACAGTTCCCCAAAGAAGTCATCCAGACCTATTCCACTACACGTTATGTGGAACGCTAATGGAGGACACCTCAAAACCTTTCCTAGGTGTTCAGTTTTCTGGAGAAGCACAAAGCAGTTGCTGCTCTCCTAAGCAGAGGTAGCTGCCTTGTTGAAAAAGTTTCCATGTAGAACCTTTAAAGTAAAAGAACACTTTTATAAATGGCTTACTGCTTCAAACACACACAAAACAATTATCGCTTGAGAACTTACTTTCAAAATTTACCATGTACAGTAGAATGGGTACAGAAATCAGAGGGCACAAGAGCTTTCTGCCTCAAGCTTCCTTAGTAAGTAACCCCGTAACAAAAAGAACATCCAAAATGCACTTTTTGGATTGTCCTATGAGGAATGATTTTTATCAAAGTTATAAACCTCTGAAAACATAAGTTATTAATGGAATTTTAAGCACATGGTGAATTGCATGGTAAATCCCATTGCTAGGCAACAGGAAAAACACTGTGTTTAACACATAGTGCAATTAAATTATAATGCTTTACTTACTTTATAGCACTGAAATCATCTTATTTTGTATTTTCTTCAAATTCATGGATTGAAAAAAAGAAATCAGCTCTCTTCACCAAATCAATTATGTTCCTGAATCTGACCACTGAAAAATGGAGAAGCTACACCATTCCAGCAGCAGCTGAGAGGATGTCTTGCCACTGTGCAGAGCAGGAGGAAGACAGGCTTTTGTCACATCAGTTCAGAAAAGGCAACAGTGAAGATGTCTAGGTGCACAAGTGTTGGATATATTGAGAACTACTCACCACACACCTCTAAGTTATTCCACTGCTGTGGCACTGAGCTAGTGGAAGTCAGGTGGCAAACTAGACTGGAAAACCGCTCCTCATGAAAACTAACCTTGTTTTTTTTATTTTGGATGCAGTCAAATAGTTATCCAATTTTATTCTCTTGTTTTTCATTTGTAATTCAGGGTGAGAATGGAGATCTGCACCACAATGACATAGCCATAATTTCTGACAAGAACTGAGCAGTGTCCTCTAGACACATGGATTTGCTCAGACTTTGGTTAGGGAACTCTGCACCTCATCCCATTTCTCTCTGTAGACTTCTTATTCTCTTCTGTTCTGCAAGAGGTAGATGAACACAGTGGAGTTCAGTTGCTCCTCCATTACCCTCCCCCAGCAATATAGAAGCAGTATGACAGTCTTTTATTAAACAAATTATTGAGTGTAATTTGGAAGGCACAACAATTTGTTATAGACACATTACTTAATGAGAGAAGAAATTCCAAGTCTGTTACTAAATTTCAAAGGAGAAAGAAAGGAGGGAAAGATTTTTAATTAAATTTAGAATTGGAACATATAATCAGAGGAGTGGCTTTCTGAAATCTACTACTGCCATTCATTTAACATTATTAAAATGGGACGTATAATCAGGCTGTGATATAAACCACTAATTTGAATGCAAATCCTGTTTATATGCAACAATTTACCAAATCAGGACCACTAGTCCTCATGTTCTCAATCAGTTCTGAGAAGTGTGTCTGTATGCAAATGCGCTTGCATACAAGTAAATGAGCTCAGATTAACAGCACATTACAGTAAATGAGTTCCCTTTGCAAGCAATAAGCGGACAGCGGTTAAAGCCTTGTAGCATCTGAAACCTGTCAGCACCTTTGCATGTACAGAAGTGTTAATATCTTTGCCCCTCTAATATATACAGTGTGTAAAACATTTCAAACCATAGAAATGTAATAGCACTTTCCTTAAGTATAGCATTCATCTTTTTTTAAAAAGGTTTAACTTGACATTTATTGTTAAGCAACGTAATTAAATGCCATGAGCTTCTGTATATTTTCCCTTCCTCAGAATCACCACGAATGCTTCTATGTAAATTACTTTAATCAATCACTCTGTTTATGTGACAATTCATAATCAAAATACCAGATATGCATTTTGAGTAAGGGTTCCAAATAGCAAACTAAACCAGAGGTAGAGTGTAGAGTCATAGATGGCATTTCTACTGAGGAATGAAGCCTGAGCATCCTCTGTTCATGAGGCCGAAAAGACAGAATATTAGCACAGAAGAATTGCTACTTGTGGTTTTGAAGTAATCCTGGTGTTTGGTAAATAACAAAAGATATTATTTATTTGTTCGTATTAAGAGGAATACACGCAGAGTTTAAATCAAGCAGCACTGCAGGTGTAGACTTGGCAGCAGACAGCCAAACTCTGAACACCAGTATCAGAAAAGTTCCAAGACATACATTACAGGCAGATTAAGGTCTACTCCTGCCAGATTCCCACTCCTCCTAAATACTCTGTTGTGTATATAAATGATCTAATACAGCTGAACAAAATACAGGTAAGAAATGCTGCTGG